AAAGTTGCCTCATTCTTTTGCTTAATCTACATAAGATAAAAGTAAAGCATACACATTCAAATGTTAAATGGACACAAATTTTAGCAAGACTACTAGAAATATATTTAATGTTCACCGCAAACAAATTTAGATTTTACATTCAGTATATTCCTAATTACTACCTTTCATAGTTAGTTATTCAAGAAAATAAAGAAAGTTGAACAAACAACGATTTTTTGGTTAAAGGTTGATAGATTGTAATTGTTGAATTTTACTAAATCAAGGATTCCAAATTTACTACAAATTGCACTGGACTTCCTGGTACTACACTTTTTCTTTGAAACGACAAATTATTTTTTACTGTGTATAATCCAAACTTTACGGAATCCTTAACTAATGATGACCTCCAAAACCCTTACGCTTTTAAAAAAAAAATATGAATACGGCTTTTATTGTATTACCTGTTGTATTATTACAAATATCGGACAAGTTGTCCCTAGGTCTTCATTATCGGGTTTGACGCAGGTTATAAGAAATAATGGCACGCGGCTAGGAGCTTCTTTCCCCACTCACTAGACCTGATCTCGTTGCATATTTTATCAATATCGGTTAGTATCCTAGGTGTGGTAGCCGTTCGGAGCATAGAAACGAACGTTGTATACAAGAGAAGATATAATAATGCCCAACACATCAACCAATGTTATGTCGCAGGTATTATAAAGCCATTTATACGAAACCTTGAGAAAAAACAATGAGAAGCTAGTAACAACCTATTTATATCTATATTCGTATTTTGACATCAGCTGTATCAGAGATACGACGGCACATTATGCCGTTACAGTAAAATATGAATGTAAATTCCCGTGAATTACAACTCAAGTAGCAAGTAACTACTACTAGAAGCAAAGCACGATGCAAATAAAATCTTAGATGAGCAAATATGAAACTGAAACAAGAATAAATTTATGTGTATAGACTTCGCATAATAAAACCATAATTTGATGCTATTTTGTTGCCGAGTTATTGTCAAGAAACTGATTTGGTTGCATTGATATACTACCAAAAGCATGTAAATGATTTACGTTAGCAGGCTTACACCTACAGTGGAGACTTCACGGCTGAAGTCTTCAGTATGATAATTATTATTGGATTTTAGGTTTTTGGCGGTTGTCTTTCGAAATTTCTTTCCCAAGTCCCCTAACAGAGGAATAACTTCTCTTGATTATTCTTGCCTCACCTAGAAGCGAAACGTCGGGTAACTGCCCAAAAGAGGGAAACATTGACTGAAGACGGCAGCCGTGAAAAAATAAAATTACATGCTATATTTATAGACCTGATATAAACAGGATTAGACTTAGAGGACCTAAAGTTAGCAGACTGCGAAAATTTGATTTACACTTTATCAAGGTGTTTAATTACATTACATAATCAAAACACTAACATTTCACCTTAATAAATGGTATTAAAGAAGTCGTATTAGGCTATTTTCTTGTTTTTGTGATGCTGGGGAAATAACAGAAGTAAATATTCTGGAAATATTGATCAATTTAAAATAATAAATATGGCAAATAATTGAAATACCACACGTGCTAACATACAAGAAATATTATCTGCACTCTGGAACTAATTCACCACAAGATAACTAAGAGACGTTGTCAAAAAGTCAACAAAAACAAAGATTATTGTAATTATAGATAAGTAGTTTCACGTGCAATAACAACTACCTTTATCAATTATTGGCAGTAGATTATTTCCCATTAAAGAACACTTAAGTATAACGTTATACAAAGATAGATTAACTGACTTATTTAAAAACAAAAATTATTTTTTTTGTACCGTTAAAAGCCAAAGTGAGCACGAATCCTGCTCATACTGCAACAGTATCGGATTTCGAAATAGATTTCATCTTGAATAAATTTGCCGCATGAAAATTTCAAACCAAAGGGAAAATAAAAATGAGAAGATCAAAGTAGCTAATAATTTGGAAATTCAAGATACAGATCTTGCTCCGAGAAAACAAAAAAACGAGCAGTAGCCACACTTATAAGCAGTGTTGGTCTCTATGATTAGAGGAAATTAAAATTATAAGTGGGGATAGAAACATATTGACTATTTCAGGGCTTTCAAAACCTGAGGATATCATTATTATACCGGTAAAAATTTTTGATATACCAAAAAATGTTCTTTCTTTTATAATAGAAAGTGATTCGTTTAAAGATAATATACTTTCACATACCCTTATGTACTCATATACTTCCTCGCACACTTCTCCTCTCAGCATTTCTATTATCATTCCCCCCAATTCCTGCTCACACCTGTCATCTGTCCATACTCTCATGAACTCTTTAACTCTCTCAGTCTGACTCTGTATGGCTACTCCACAACAAAATAAGTGAGCTAAAGTTTCTTCAGATCCTCCGCATAGCCTACATTCCCAGTCCCTATATCCCTTCTTATTCGCTCTCCCTATATTCCCGCATCTAATTTTCGCCCACATTTCCTTATCGTCTTTCTTTTTATTTCTTTTGTTTAAATATTCCGCCCCTCCGTTACCTGGTATTAGTTGCTTGTACATTATATTGTAGGATGACTTTGTTATTGCCTCCCACTCTTCCTCCAACTTTTTCTCCCACCACATATTTAATCCTTCTATACATCTTTTATAAATTTCTTCCCAACTCTTTCCCTCCCAAATCATTTTACACACGTCCGTAACACCCACCTCAGCAAACATTTCCCACACCGCTTTTCCCTATATCGATGCATTTTTATTTATAACACCTCTCATTTCCTCGATATGACACACTTTAGGCCATCTCCCCTCACCCATCCCTACAATCTCTTCTTACATGATCCTCAGTGTTAAATTTTGTAGAGAACCAATATCCCAGGTATTTGAATTCATTAACGACGTCAATTTCCTCACCCTTAAATTTCCACTTTTCATCTTTCTTTCTTTTTCCCCCATTCCTGAATACCATCACCTTTGTCTTTCTCGTATTAACTGTCATTTTATGTCTGTCAACATACTTTTCTAATGACCCCAGCATGGCCTCTAACTCTTTGGCACTCTCTGCAATAATTGCTATATCGTCTGCATATTTTAGTGCCCACACTTTTACTTTGCCATATACCGTTCCACCCTCTTCCCTTTTCATCTAGACATCATCGAGATCGTCGATAAGAATGTCAAAAAGTATTGCACTTAGGGCGCATCCCTGCCTTACCCCTACATCGGTAACAAACTCACTTGTTAGTCTTCCATTTACTTGCACGTCTGCGCTCGTTCGGCGATAAATTTCCCTAATTAGCGCGTGCATTCTACCTTTAATTCCTAAATTCCAGATCTTCTCAAGTAATATATCTCTGTCTGCTGAGCCAAAAGCAGCTTTAAAATTTATAAACCCTACATACAATTTACCTCTTTTCCTTTTCAGTCTGCCATTTATTAATGCATTAAATACGAAAATGTGGTCTCTAGTTCCCCTCTTTTTTCCAAATCCTGCTTGACTCTCCTTTAATAAATTTTCTTCCTCTAGCCATTTACTTATTCTTTTTGCCATTATACTAGTCAAAATTTTGTATCCTACATCTAACAATGACACCCCTCTATAATTTTCTGCGTTATTTTCCTCGCCATCTTTGTAAATTGGTACTAACCTAGCTTTCTCCAACCCTGCCGCAATTTTTCCTTCCTTCCATATTCGATTGAGTGCTATTTTTACCCACTCTAAAGCTTTATTACTTAGCACTTTTATACACTCTATCGGTATCCCGTCCTCCCCTGTTGCCTTACCATTTGCCGTTTTACTCAAAGTTCTTACTATTTCGGACATTTTGATTTCCTCATCAAGACTTTCTACATGGTACTCCCCATTTAGCTCGCCCGTGTTAACAGCCCTACTCAGAACTTGTTGTTGCTTGTTGCATAATAAATACCTAAAGTGTTCAATCCATTGTTCAATGGTTATTTGCTCTGAAACACAAACCCTTTTCTTTACCAAAAACTTACTAATTGCTTTCCACCACTCAGATATCCCTTTTGCCTTATCAATTTCCCACCATGCTTCATCTTTCTTCTGTTGAGTTTCTTCTTTTAGCCTATTCCTACAACTTCTCAAGGCCTCCTTTTTCTCTTGACATCTTTCGCTCAGCCAAGCTTTTAAAAGCCCCCACATTTCTTTTTCAAGCTGCTGGCAATTTTCAGAAAACCTTACAGTACTTCCTCCCTCAAAGTTTGACCTTTTTCCTATCCACTTTTCATCCCTACCTCTCTCGCAACTTCCCATATCATTTTTGCAATTTTTTCCCAAGTTATTTCGTTCCCTTCCCCTTCGTTTTCCACCCTATCTGTCATTATGACTTGGAACCTCTCTACCTTACATTTGTCCCATATTATCTTTTATTTTGTTAACACACATTCTTCTTGTCTTACTCTACCCGTTATCTCGTCATTCCTACTATTCAAATTAAAAGAGAATGCCACCGGCAAATGATCCGATTCTACCCTATCAATTATTTTCATGAGCTCATTAACGATTCACATCCCCTATCAACCATGAGCACCAGGTCTAATACCGACCCAGTAAATGTATTATCCCCTCTACATATATTACTTTTCCCAGTTCGTCTCCCTTCGCTCTTCCATTTAATAATATTAGGCCCATTTCCTCTGCTAACTTTATTAATTTTTTTCCATTCTCGTTTATCTCACCGTCTTGTGATACTCTGTACTTGAAATTCGCTGCCATTTCATCCATAATATTACACATTTGCTCGTTTCCAACCCTGGCATTCATATCGCCACATACAAAAATTACCTCATATTCTCCCATTACTTCCTCTATAGCTAATCTTTTACCTCTACAGCGCTCATTGGCATATTCACATACACTGAAATTATGCATACTTTCTCTTCGCATTTAACTATCAAACCATACCACTCACTCACTCTCCATTTGCCGTGGCTTTTTTTAATAATTCCTCCTTACTAGTGGCTTCTTCATTTCCAAGATATCTTATTATCACATTCTTCCTTCTTCTTTTCCTTTCTTCCATTTCATATCTCCAGTGTTCTACTAAAATCCCCACTGGGGCGTCCATCTCTTGCACTGCACCTTCTCTGTCTTGCCGTGTCTTCGTAGTTTGCCCTTTTTTTCCTACTTTATCATTTTTCTGAGAATTTTCTTCATTTTTTCCATGTTTTCCGTTCTGTCTTTCTTCCCCTTCTTGAATATTATTTCTTTGGGACCCTTTCTCACTATGGCGTACGTCCTCTTTTTGTTTTTCTTCTAGCCACTGTACTTTCTTTCTCAACTCCTCATTTTCTCTTATTAGTTTTGTTCTTTCTTCTCTCTTCAGTATTACTTCAATAATCTTGCCAATATCATTTTTAACTGCTAATATTTCTTCAATTACCATTGCCATATCACTCGCTTCACTCCTTTTCTCAACCACTTCTGCTTCTTGTTCTCCATTACTTTCCCCTTTTTCCAATCCATCCAGCTCGACCCTTCTGTTCCGCAGTGTATATCTTTTTTCTTGTGTTGCATCAAGCATCGCCTGGCTCCCTCTACTGTCGCTCGTGAAAAACTTCAACAGGGGTCCTTCCTTACTACCCTCGCACCTTTTTGGCGGTCTGCCGGGGCCTCTCTTTTTTTCCTCGTTTGGCGCCTGCATAACCTCTCTTCGTCCCGCTTTGCTTTGCCGTCGATTAATTAGTTTATCCTCTTCACTCGCAAAAATTTTTATTATGCACTCAATTGCTACCTTATTTTACCACATGGCGACACTATTTACCCAAACAGATACTTGAGTTCTCACTTTTTATCGCTTAATACTCGTAGAGCAACACCTAACACGTCTTATCACACCAGACGCCCTCTACCCTCTCCGAACAAATTATTTATATGTGCTCCAAGAAATATAAAAATGCGTAGAAAGTGGATGCAGTTGGCTCGCAGAAATCCTACTGATATTTCGGATAGTACAGTGATATTTTTTTGTGAAGACCACTTCAATGTAAGTATAGTGTTGAATACCTAGTACTTTATTTTATTTAAATACATAAATCATCTCATTAGTTATCTGTTTGAGGTTAGAAATGCAATGTTTTGAAAAGGGACAGTTTAAGCCAGATTATCCGGTAACTAAAATGACTAACTTAACTATTTACAGTGGAAAAAGACATGGCCAACTACTTCCAATACAAAATGGATTTCAGTCAGAGAATAATAATGGTGGATGGAATTTTGCCTTCTAAATTCCATTGCCAGCAAGATCGCTGCAAAAGAACTTGTGAGGCTGGTACTTCTCGATGGCGTTTGTGAAACGGCAAAGAATTGACCTCATCAAACAATGTGAAGTTGAAGTCATTCAGTCAGCTGACGCTGTTGATAGATCTTTTGCAGGAAACATGGAGAATACGAAAATGGGTATGTAAACAATACACTGATTTAGAAATCTTAGAAAAACCTTAGAGCTTTTGTTGTTTTGTGTTAAGTTTTTTAGCCGTTCTTTCATGTAATTTTTTCAAATCTTCTATATATAAAAAAATTAATCATGGTTTGTTTGTCTCGCTAAAACTCGAGAACGGCTGGGCGATTTAGCTCAACTAGTTATTAATAAATGTTTGTCTTTTCAGAACCGTCAATATGTGAGAAATTTACATCAACACAACCAATTAAAACTGCTGAAAAATCAGTTCAATTTCATAGTACTTACAAAGTGCATTTTAGAAGCAAGGCAGTGCAGACAAAAATTTTGACAAGGGACACCCCTGTTTCACCTATCAAGAACTTAATCTCCAGCAGCACTTCTCCATTTAAGATTGATCAAATTTCTTGTCATGTAAAACCATTACAATCTGGTATTAATATAAAGAAAAGAATCGGTTTTGATGAGGAAAAAATCAGGCAGTGATATCTCTTTGTATACAAAAGCTCCCAAACAACAAGATTCCTTATCATATGCAGTTACTTCTTCATCAAAGTTGTCAAACTCTAGTACGAACATTACAGAACAATGACGGTTGATATTTTACACTACAGAACACAATGTTTACAAAGCTGTGACGTCAGGGCCGATTCAACCAATTATGGACGTTTTCGGTCACTTGGAAGTTAATTTAAAAAAAGGATTTTTTCTCGACGATTTATGAATAAATAATACATTATTTATATCATTTATTAACGTAAATCGCTTAATAAACCTTATATTTATATGGATGACACAAAAAAACAATTTATTTTTCATACTGTCAAATAGCCTATTGAATTTTACGAGCGAAAAATTGTAAATACAAAGACAAATACAAAACAGCTTTTGCGAGCCACCACGGCCACAAGCAGTGGCCATATTTCAAGGAATTTTTACGAGTATAATGATGAAAAACAATTTAAACTCATTTGCAATAAATCATATCGATGATGTTTTGATCTACTTGAATAATTACAATGAACATTTAAAACAAATTAAATAAATAAGATATCTGATTTCTCGAGATAGTGAGTAATTGTGTGAAGCCTTTAAGTAAAAACGTGGCGGCAATTATAAATTTACCAATACCTCGAACCAGGAAAAATGTCAGACAATTTCTTGGAAAAGTGAATTTTTATTCGGAGTACATTCCAAGGTCGGTCATAGCATAAGAGCCGTTCTATAATCTGGTGAGGAAAAACGTAAAATCCATCTGGTCAGAAAAATGCCAGAAAAGTTTTGAGAAAGTGGTAGAATAGTTTATGTTCCGATCCGATCCTTGATGCGATAAGCAACGTCAACCAAATAAATCGATAAAACCAATATTGACAAATTTTCAAAAGTCAAAGAAAGCAATTTATATTGAATGCGTTGCTATAAAAGAGGCCATTCTTTATTGGCAATATTACTTAATTGGACAAAAATTTACTATTTTTAGTGATCATAAACCGCTGGAAAATTTTAACACAAAAAATTGTGAAATTAAAGAAAACATTATTTACAAAACATTAAATAATAAGAAGAAAACTTGGTTGTCCGAACCACGTTTACAATATTGATAAGTTTCATAAATACTTAAATTATTATTGTTTTAATTCTTAAAAGTTCAGAGAATCTAATTTTCCAATTAAGTTCGAATTACACACAAAGTACAATAGAAAATTATGAAATTATGATAATGAAAAAGAAGTGCAAATAAAATACAAATCTCTAAGTGATAATTTATTGGCTGGAGTCTGGATCAAGGCTTACTCTTTAATATTGTAGGGATATAACAGTAACGTTAACAGGGACGTGTAAATATAACGATTTATTAAAAGAAACAAGTTATAAAATGAATAAGATCAAATTAACAGAACATGGAAGCTTTACATGAATGAGCCAAGCCCTCACGACGTCTAACTTTTTCGAGGGTTATTCTTCGACTCCCGTCCTTTTTAAAATTGTACAGTACTCAGTACTTCTTGACCGTCCCAGAGGTCTTTTTCATTAAGCAATGGTAATAAACTTTATGACAGGGTTGCGTCCGAGGATCTAGCTGCTACATGTACATTTTCTTAAATGTAAGTAAATAATTCTTATGACTATAACAACTTAAAATTTAAACATTAAGAACCAACTTATTCTAAGTCACGTCTGCATACTACAATATTCACAAACAAATATGGTAACTTAGGGTAAGTGGCTGTGTGAGGGTAAGGAGAGTGTAACAACAGTATGTATTATACATATGTATCTATACATAAGCGAGTACAAATTTCTAGGTATCTATTTTAGGTCATTTGGGAAGTTGATATTGTGAGCGCCAACCTTTTTCCTTAGGTTTTGTAGGTATTGTCGTTACAACATGGTTTTATCGATTGAGACAGTTAATTATTCGTAACGGTACCTATGCACACTTTATTCACACTTAATCAAAACACTTCAATACTTTCTTTAATTAATTGATATTATCGTAATCAGTTTATCCCAAAAAACACACGTGCGGCCCAGAGCAAACACACACTTTAATTACGAATGAAACTATAATATTTCCATTACAACTCCCAATCCTAAGTTCCATTAAATTTAAACTATCTCAAATTATACCTATTGTGAGCAAACATGGACAGGTGTTAATTCCAAGTNAAGATAATCTCCAAAAGATTCCATTTATTGCATCATTATTTATTAAACTAGCGGCGGGTTGTGTGGATTAGCTGAACAATATAATAAGAATTACCGTAAATAAAAAACGAACGTCCAATGTAACAACAAAAGTCACTTTGTCAAGTATTCCGGAAGACTGTTGTATGCCCAATCTTCGAATTAACAAACATGTTAATGTTGAACCTCTACATTATATACACAACAACTGTTAAACAACATCAAACTGGCTGAAGAAAAATTAAAGCAGTTCGATTAAAATCAAAATACGGATATTAGTGAGGCGCCAGATGTCCCATTACAAACTTTTACTTGAGTAACAAATAGGAAACGATATTTGATATGGTTGTTTTATAATAAATTACTGTATAAGATAGTATTCTAATTTTCCTCAATTTATTATATTTACCTGTCAAGAATAAATTCTATTATCTTTATAGTATATTCCAACATAATATAGTACTTTTAATGATACCATTTTTACCAACATTAGTTTGTATAACATAATCAATAATTGTCTTGTTATTGTTAATATTAATTTGGCTATCGAAAATTACTCATTATTTGCGAAAGACGAGAGATGTTAACTATATATGATTATTTCTGTTTCATTAATGGTATACATAAGATATCACTGTTTCCTGACAAACAACTAAATGTCTTTGTAATGTATTTGTATCTCAATATACTTTATACTGTGTTATCAACTGCTGAAGATATAAATATGCCTGGCAGGGTATTTTATTCTCAGTTGTCCATTACTAGTTGTATAATAAATATTTTCGTCCTGAGATTATTTCTTTATTGCAATTCAGAAGTTATTAACTTAAATAAGTTGATTTTGTCAGTTATCGAACAATAGGACTTGGTAAGAGTCCCCGAGCCAAAATAGTTTAATATACAGAAGTTGTCAAACAATTTAAATAAGTTCTGTCATCAAACGTATTGGAAATCATTGGCATATTCACATACACTGAAATTATGCATACTTTCTCTTCGCATTTAACTATCAAACCATACCACTCACTCACTCTCCATTTGCCGTGGCTTTTTTTAATAATTCCTCCTTACTAGTGGCTTCTTCATTTCCAAGATATCTTATTATCACATTCTTCCTTCTTCTTTTCCTTTCTTCCATTTCATATCTCCAGTGTTCTACTAAAATCCCCACTGGGGCGTCCATCTCTTGCACTGCACCTTCTCTGTCTTGCCGTGTCTTCGTAGTTTGCCCTTTTTTTCCTACTTTATCATTTTTCTGAGAATTTTCTTCATTTTTTCCATGTTTTCCGTTCTGTCTTTCTTCCCCTTCTTGAATATTATTTCTTTGGGACCCTTTCTCACTATGGCGTACGTCCTCTTTTTGTTTTTCTTCTAGCCACTGTACTTTCTTTCTCAACTCCTCATTTTCTCTTATTAGTTTTGTTCTTTCATCTCTCTTCAGTATTACTTCAATAATCTTGCCAATATCATTTTTAACTGCTAATATTTCTTCAATTACCATTGCCATATCACTCGCTTCACTCCTTTTCTCAACCACTTCTGCTTCTTGTTCTCCA